ATAAGAATACTCTTTTACAGATTTACTAATTTACAGAGGGATACTTGAGTACTGTTCTTTACTGTAGTAATTTTGGTGTAGTAAATGCATTTAACAATTTTGTACTCTACCCTATATATTTTTGACTCATTCGTAGTAAAATTTTTTAGTGTCATAAAATGTTGTTTTTTTTCTAGGTAGCATCGTTTAAGGTTTTAAAATTATTCTAATAAATCGACTTCAAAATTTTTTACCGTGTACACAATAATCTTTTAAAGTTTTTATATTAAAATTCCTGCTGATTCCAAAACCCTGTATTTAAAATTATATTAAATGAGACCGTAAAATCAAAGAAAATTTTTTCTTTTCTTAAAAAAAATTTTCGTCACTCAAATTTTTTCAATCAAAAATGGGAGAAATTTAAAATAGTCACACTTATTTATTGAAAAATCGAAACTCTAAAAAAAAATTCCAAATTTATTAATTCATAAGTAAAGTTGAGATTACTGAAAAGCAATGTTATGCAAATTTGTCGTAAATCTCAATATATGGCTTATATACAACTTGAAAAATCTCGCCCTTAAAATGAGACTTCATACATAAGCATATCTAATATAAAAACTTCCACATTTCCAATTCAATAGTCTTTATACATAATTTACTCTATTATGACACTTTTCCTTTCTTTTTTTTTATCTAACCTCGTACTCTCTACCCCCTTCCTCTCTTTCTTATCATTTCATAGAAATATATGTACATAAATTTTATGAATATTATTAAAATTTATTTTAAAAGTTTAAAAACTTGAACTATATTATTATAAAAGTTTTAAAAAGAATTCGTCTCTTCCAGGGAACCAAGTTCATTGAAAGCTAAACAAAAATAATAAAAAACAAAAACTAAAATTATATGTTAATAATAAAGAGTGACGTAATCCAAAAACAAAATAATGTCATCCTCCCTTAAAACACATACATAAATACATTTTGAAATAAAACCAAGGACATAGAAGATATAGAAAAGATTTTCTTATTCTTATTGTTGTTTTTATGATTTAAATGACATTATATTACATGTATATCGTTTCTAAGAGTAAAATATGAAATATTTTTGAGAGAACTAGAATTTTATACAAAATTTTCTCATGTAAACTTGTTAAATATGTTCTATGGGTTTTAAACATGCAATTTAAAATTACAAAATTTTTAAAATTTAACAAGAATACTAGAATGATTAGGGTCGTATAAGAGTATAGGATTAGATCTTTGAATAGGATTTTTATTACAAATTCTAAAATCAGAAACGCCATGCTTTTACAAACAAAATATAGGCACGTATAGTTTTTACACATAATATAATAGACTGACTACAGCTGTACACTTATATTTAGTCGTCTGATTCTGTATCTCACTTGCATACGTAGGTATATTATATACTCACTCTTTTTACTCACCCCTCTTTATTCAATCGGTAAGAGGAAAGTTAATAACTACAACATATTGTAGCAATGTGTTTTACAAGTGAGAATTTTTTTTTCAACCACTCTGTTTTGAAAAGACTGACATATTTAATTCACATTTGAAAATTTTAACATGACATATTGAGAAATAAAATACAAATACAATATTCAACATCAACGACAAAGAATGAGGGATCCTCTATAGTCTATAAGAGTGCTATATCTTATTAAAAATTAAGAACTCTAATTCAAATTTAGAGGTGACTAGGAAATAACTCCCACATTTATGAACTCTTACTGTTATAAATCTATAATTTTATAACAATAAAACTTTTAGGGCAAACTAATAATGATTTTTTATGAAAAAAACATCATTATTTCTCAATTAACACCAAAACCTTTCGAACCTTAAAAATTCTACAATAAAATTTAATGTTATTAAAATTTAATGCTCAAACAATTTTACTAAATTAAAATCGAAATTTCCAAGGTTCTCAAATTTCTTTTCATTTCTTACTTAAAATTAACCGAAACTCAAATATATCGCCTCACCCCCACTACTATTTTTCAAAAACATGTTATACAAATATCTTAAAATTATACATTTCCAAACACAATTGTACAAACATACAAAACTACACATTTCTTCACATTAAATTGTAAATTCATTATTTTTTATTCATTTAAACAAAAAAAAAGGATCCTTCCCTTTCTTACTTCTTTGTTTCTGGTGAAGTTTTGCTTTCGAAAACAAACAATATAAGAATATAAGATAAACAAAAACAAAACGAAAAGGACACCCTTAAAAATTTATTATTTTTGTACTCATCATTATCCTTGGTTATAATTTACAATGAAAAAGGATATTAAAATTGTTATATTTTTTGCAATGTATATACATATATATAAATGTATACATTTGCACAAATATATGCTTTTAAAAATTAGATACAGGGGGCTTAGAGTTAAAAGATAAATATTGTAAAATTTATAAGAAACGAAATTGGGCACAAATTCTACGCCAACAATAGTAGTTGATTATTAGAAATTTTCCAAAAATTCTATTATTAAATTACGAATTCCAAGATAATGTCAAAACTCAGGTCGTAAAAATATAAAATTCGAAGTTGATTTAAAACATTAAGTAAAAAAAGAAAGTATAGAACTATCCTGCTTATTAATCCTGCTGCCGCACTGTATCATCATGATTAAGTTGAATTCTTTTAGGTCGAATTCTATTTTAATACATAATTTCGTCAAATTAAATTTGACATTGACATTTTTTTGAGACATATGTATTTGAAAAATCTACGAAATGAACTTGAAATACAAACCTTTGGACGAAATCTTAATTTTCGTGTTATGAGTATAAATCACAGCCATTTTATGTTATAAACTCTGTGGTAGACAGCGTTTCGAATTTTATGTATTAGCAATTTTGTAATGCACTAGCTAAGACGGGGATTCTACACTTTGGTTGCAATCATCTGTGTTATCCGAATTTTGTGTTAAACTCATTGTGTAGTATATTCACGTCTTTTTAGAAAATAAAGATAGTATAGAACTTGTGTGCATGCAGGCTATTGGTAGCTGTAACATTGGGATTTAGGTATCAGTCCCTAAGGGTTAAATCTAAAACAAACAAAATTTGATGCAAACTATTACAATTGTGTTCCAAAACTGTTAAATTCTGTTTTGCGCTAAAGCTTGTTCTACTAGATTACATTTCGGATCTTAAAGAAAACAAATATGACAAAATTTCCTTTGTTCATCTTCTTACATAAAAAATATATAGGGTAAAAATGAATTTTGAGAATAAGTAAGGCAACAATAAAAAAAAACTACTTACGTTATTTTTTTATAGAGATTTTTCTTAAAAATTAAGTATAGATAAGTAGAAAAATGACTTTGTAAAACGCATCCTTTGGTTTTAATATTCCAAATGATTTTTTAAAATATTTTGATGACCGCTTTTATGATTAAAATGGAGTGTTAAATTAACTGACATTTTATATGCAATGTAAATAATAATTTTTATAACTATTATAAATTTTAGGTACCTACTATGTGTATTCACATATATTACAGTTAGCATAGTTTCTCTTAATGTTCTTTTTCAATAAAATTTATATACATACATACATAGATAGTTGTTTTTCTATAGAAGAGGCAACATTAAATTTTTATGACATAAACTCACTTATACATATAGCATATACAGTTATGTCAGAATTATATTGTATAACATTTTAATAAAACAAATTATTATAGTTATTAAGAATGGAAACTAAATGGAAACTACATAATATATTGTATAACATTATAAATTTGACACAATAAGTTATTATTTTATTGTGGTGATTTAAAATGTCAATAAATTTTTAAAATACATAAAATGCGGTTATAGATAAAGTGATAAAAAATAAATAAAAATATTTTTGTACTCACTTAAAATTTTTTTTAAACAAATATTTTAAGATATTATGACAGTTTTAGTTTTATAACAGAAAAAAAATCGTGTCATTAAATTTGGAGATAAATTTTTTCGCAGCACACTTTTCCAAAAAAATGTTCAACTTCAACACGTAGTTTCGACGCACTTAACTTGTGATATTTGCGAATTGTGTCGATAATCGAACTTATTTTTATTTTATTTGGTATGCGGTTAGGCCGAAAACTATTTATAGTATTCTGTTATTCAATTATTCAATATTTACGTTTCTCAATCTGATGATGGTGAATTATAAGCTCACTTTTTCTGAGCCTCTTATAAGCCTGCAGTACTGAATTAAAATGAATTCTCCTGACTAGAATAGCAGAGATATACAAAAACTAAGCAAGCAAAATTATGGCTAATTACAAATCATAAAAATTTTAATTTAATTCGAAATTATAACAATTTTATTTGAATTGGGTGGGCACCAATTTAGTTTTACATTGTTCAGACTTTGGATCATTTTCACATTGAAAATGTGAGTGACACTGTATGTGCCTTGCAAATCGAGAAAATTATAATCAATTTTTGCTCTTCTCTTAAGCTAATATAGTTCTTCGAGCTTGTACTATGGATTAAGAACATTCATATTATTCTTATACTCTACAAATACTATATTATTCATCACATTACCACATTGAATTTAATGAAGCTTTATTGTCTAGAAGGACTGTATTCATGTTTCAGCTTTTGTGAAAATTTACCACAATATGAAATTAAAAATTTCTAGTGCCTTCATAGTCAAAACAGTCAAAGTTCATCCAAATGTCTAAAAACTTAAATTTAATAGAGTCTTCCAACATACATACATTTTCAAAAAGTGACCTTTATAGACCTTTAATATTAAGAAAAATTCTTGAATTTCGAAAAATAATGAAATACTTTCAGAATTTATTTAAAATCTATTTTACTAAATTGCAAAAACAATTCAGTAAAGGATTAATTTTAAAATAACAAGCACTTCATTTATTTTAAAGCTTTAATTTTGAAAAATTTCAACCAAAATATTTTTTTTTTAAATCTTGTCCATATTTTAAAATTTTTATTTGTTATTCTTTTTTTTTACAGCAAATAAACAAAAAATACGTCATGATTTATGAATGAAATAAGAATTTATGAAATTTATTTTTAACAAAAAAGAAAAAAATTACCAAAAATAAAACATCTTATAAATGTCATCCTGCTTTAGAAAATATTTTATTTTGTACAAGAAATTATTGGTAACTGGGGCAACATATGACGTCTTTTGTAAAACAAAAATATCGCCTGTACAAATCGTTTTTGGGCTGGTCCCTTTCTAGCGACACATCGAATACATAAAGTACAAAAAAAAAAACATTTATGAATAAACAAAGATTAACAATTGAAATCGAAAGAAAAAAAAGAGAAAAAAGCAATAGAATTGGAGAAAAGAGCAACAAATCATACAAGGAGTATAGAAAAAATAAGGATTGGGACGACAAAGCGAAAACAGAAAAAGGATTTTTTTTTTGTTCTTTTTTTTTTATTCACCACCTATTTTTCTTTTGATATTTTGTTACTCCATATTGGCTTTTAAATAATAAAAAAGAATCTCGATCCGCATAAGCGGAAATTTTTTGTAACAAATATTTATAAAGAAAAACAAATTTAAGAACGAAAAAAGTACAAAATTCAAAAGACAAAAAAAAAGGGAATTGCAACAAAAAAGCGCAAAAACGGCAAACACAAAAATTTCAGCAATAAAATAAAAAGGTCATACAAATAAACAAGTATAGTGGAGACGACAACCCTAAACAAAATAAAAAATAAAACAAAATAACAAGGAGTATAGGATTTTTAAAATGCAGGATTGGTTAAAAATATCTTTAATATTATGTTCATATGGATTTTTACGTGAAATGAGACCATCCGAACCATTTGTTACTGAATTTTTAGCTGGTGAATGGAGAAATATAACAGAAGAGCAAGTTAATCGTGATATATATCCACTTGGGACATATTCTTATTTAGCTCAACTTGTAATCGTTTTCCTTGTAACAGATATTTTAAGGTAAATTCTCATATTACATTCGAATTTAAATACAAGAATGAAAATTTAAGTAAAACGAGAAAAAAAATAGAGTTGACCTTGTCAACTCTGTGATACCCGTACGAATTTGTTATCCTATGTGCGAATAACTAATGTGCCATAACTAACTATGGGGCAGACTATGACTTTAAGTTGCCGTATTACCATATTAATTTATGCAAAATTTCAGTACTATGTGTTATTCAAAATACTGGTTGTGCCAAACTACTATTGATGTTGTATGACAACTACCAGAAAGAGCCAAGAAATTTTAGCGAATTTTATCAAGCACATCGGCCCTACTAATATACTCACTTGTGTGAAATCTCAATATCACAGCTCTTATAGTTTCTGAGATATAGTCAAATAACTTTTGAAGTTGTATGGCAGGTACCAGAAGGAGCCAAGTAATTTCAACGACTTTTATGAGACACATTGGCCCTACTAATATATTCGTTTGTGTGAAATTTCAATACCATAGCTTTAATAGTTTCTGAAATATAGTCAAATAACTTTTGAAGTTGTATGGCAGGTACCAGAAGGAGCCAAGTAATTTCAACGACTTTTACCAGACACATCGGCCCTACTAATATATTCACTTGTGTGAAATCTCAATATCACAGCTTTTATAGTTTCTGAGATATAGTCAAATAACTTTTGAAGTTGTATGGCAGGTACCAGAAGGAACCAAGTAATTTCAACGACTTTTATGGGGCATATTGGCCCTACTAATATATTCGTTTGTGTGAAATTTCAATACCATAACTTTTATACTTTCTGAGATATAGCCAAATAAATTTTGAAGATGTATGGCAGCTACCCGAACCGGTACCCCGATCATGTCCAATTTAAATAGGGTTCTGGCACTTCCTACAATAAATCATTTGTGAAAATTTGGTGAACTTAGCTCAATTAGTTTTTGAGTTATCGTTCGGACGGACGGACGGACGGACGGACGGACGGACGGACGGACGGACGGACGGACGGACGGACAGACAAAGCTAAATCAACTCAGAATTTGACGCTGATCAAAAACATACACTTGAGTCTATATCTAACACCGTTATTTCTTAGCGTTACAAACGGTAAGGCAAATTTAGTATACCCTTCGAACATACGTTCGTACGGGTATAAATATTGCTAATATTTAAATTAAGTGGAAAGTGATCATTAATAATAAAACTTTAGAATAGAAGCATTATGAAACCTACAGCATTTTACAATAAGTACTAACTCACGATTCAGTAGTTAATTGGCCATAAACAGCTTTTATTAGAATATAATTCACCATAACAATATTATCGACAGTAATTTATTTAATAAACCCGTCGCAAACATATTATTCATAAATCTCATACCATTCACAATAGCATTCATTAAGAATTCACCATTAATATGGAACACATAATAATTCACCATTTGGAATAATTTAAAGTTATTTGTATAAAAAATTCCCTATAAGAAATAATTTAAACAATTTAGGTTGATTTGCTTAAAAAGTTCACCATGATCACTTTTTTTTCCAGCAATATTAAATATTTATAAGCAAGGAATTGCAAATGGGCATTCAAAATTTTTTTCAAGAAGCTATGGCAACTAATAACTAACATAGACTTGATAACGTTCTAAAACATTAAAATCAATTTTTCCTATTACCAAACTTGAACTTTGTTGAAAAACTTTTAATATTGCTTAATCAGGATTCAAAGACTTTTACATTTTTAGGCGGTTTATGTTACATTCGCCATTAGTATGGTAAGTTACTATGTGAATAACAGTAAATTCACAATTCACCACAAGTGTGGTGAGTTATTTGAATACATTACCGTACTGAACTATATTAAATAATTTTCTATCCTCCGTGATCATTCTAAATTAAAACTCAACACAAAATTTTTGCGAAATATATATTGTATATATATATATACAGTAAATCTCACCATACTTGCAAAAATTAATTAAAATTCTTTACACAAAAATCTATGACATTTAAGTAAAATAAAATTTTGAAAACAAAAACGGCACACTTTTTTAAGCATTCAATTGCACTTAAAAATTTTAAATGCCTCGAAAAATACTCTAACTACTTGTTAAAATCTTATATAACTAATTAGAATAAATTAAGAAATTTTTTTTGCTTCAAGTCCATTTTAACTTTTATAAAAATTTACATGAATATTAAGTGGTCAACGAATAAAAATTCTATTTCAAGTATAAAATTTTTAAAATACTTAAAAAGAAAGCAAAATTCAAACAAAATTTATACTTTTAAAATAATGAAAATTTAAGAAAAATTTCGAGGAAAAATAAGAGAAAAAACTTTTTAATTTTTAATATACATACATACTTTTTCCACGAGGCCTTATTTTGATTTCACGAATTGAAAATGGGAAAATTAAAGAGACACAGGAATTCTTGTAAATTTTTATACAAAAGGGAAAAAAACGATTGTTTCCAAAATTTCGCCATCCCATTATATCCTTTTTCTTTTCTCTATATTATATTTTATAACTGTATTAAATGTAGATAAATTTAAGAATTTCATTTTAAGGATGAAACTTTTTTATATTGTCCTTAATTTTAAATAATGTTTAAATATTGTACAAAAACAGTGAATTCTTTGTATCCCAACTAAGGAATATTACAGGTTTTACAGCGAATCTTATATTTTTTTAATTCAACATATTGTTTTATTATTTAACATATAATTCTATATTTAAGTTGATGGGTTAATTTGACCATACCAAATATAGTACTAAGTATTTTCCTAAACCCCAAATCAAAAACTAAATTTTCTTTGCCAAAGTATACGAATCTAAGACGTTTCCTTTAAGCTCACTTTTCAAAACTTTACTATAGGAAATATCTTAAACACAAACCATTTTTGCGTATAACGAATCTAAAACTTTACGCTTTCTCTACAAAAATTTATACAATATAGCAAAATACAAGATAGCAAAATATCTTGAACACAAACCATTTAACTACAATTATTCGGAATGTACTGTTGTGTTAAATATTAATAAAACTTTTTAACAAAAGAATTTCTCTTTTTCCCAAAATCATACTTAAATTTTTAATTAAACAAAAACCAGGAAAATAAAAGCAAAAAATTTTACAAAAAATATTAGTAAGTAATTTTCTTTAATGTTATACAATTATAACTCTTTTTAAAAAGGTTCCGTCTCAAAATATGTATTTTATAATCTTTTGCGGTTTATTAACCACGAAAATCTTCAAAAGTATAAAAGTAATATCATAATATTTTTTTAATATTGTGGTAGAAGATTAGAGAAAAAACAAATTAATAATTTAAAAAATTTAATATTAAATTTGAAAAAAAAAAACACCAAAAAAGTGTTATAAACAATTAACAAGCTTTCTAACAATATAAATTGCTTAAAATTTGAATTTCACTGCCATAAACACACAAGTTAAACAAGTTGTTTTTGAATAATGCCCAAAACATTTTGAGTCGCCAATTTTTATGCAATTTTTTTTCTATAATTCACAGGTATAAACCAATTATAGTGTTGTCAGCATGTGTTGGAATTGTATTATGGGCTCTTTCACTATGGACATACGATATGTTAGGATTACAGGTATGAATTTTTTATTTAGTCATATTAAAAATATCATCATATAATTTTGTATAATAAAATATTGAATAAAATTTTGTATAAATGTATAACTATTTATACAATTTTTGTTTTATACAATTGTATAATAGTTATACAATTATTTGTTTATATATTTAGTTATTTTTATGAGTTAATTTTAAATATTGTGAATTTTGAATGTCCGGCCTTAAAAAATTTAAGAGTATATACATCATTCCGTTACAGTTCTATTACAATTCTTTTTAGTTACGATAATGCACTACGCTATGTATAACACCTCTTGAGGTAGTAACATTGTATTAGTGACTTGTTTATGCAATTTATTAAAATAACACACATTTATGCCGGCGGTGATTATAACAAAACAATTTATGCCACAAAAACAAAAGTGTTATACTTAAATACTTTACGTTTGTTCAAGAAACTCATTTAAGGTCTAATTAAATTTGCAAGTTCTTAAATCTTTCTTATTACTACGTAATTGTGTGTTAAATATAAAATTTTATTAAAATACCAATTGAAGTTATAATAAATAATTTATCTATAGTCGCGAAAAATCCTACAATAATGTATAACAATAATTTAATTGATAAGAAATTCAACAAAATCTTAAATATTTAAAAATATCCAACTTAAGTTCATAATTACCTAAAGAATCATTATAATAATTATCATTCTATTAGAAATTTTCTTAATGTATATACTCGTACCTTATAACTTATAAAATCACTTAAAACTTAATAATTTCACTGTGTATAACTTTTATATTATAAATTTCCTTAATAATTTATGCGTTAATTTTTCATATTCTTGATATGAATATTAAATATGCGAATTGTATATTAAGAAAAACTTATTAAATAATAATTACGTGTATGAATAAATTATTAATAATGAAAAATTATAATATAAGAGAATGATTCGGATTTGGTTTTTGTATATCACAAAATATCTAGAGTTCACAAAACGAATATCTCAGATGAGTTATTTTCGTACTGTTCTCCGTAAATAACATAAATATTTGTGCTATAACAGTGGAAAGTTGTTGGTATCCCATACCAATAACACATACTCATACTAGTATTATGAATTGTAATTTTGAAGCAGCTGTATACCAAAAATACTACAAATTTTACAAATTTACTTTGAACAATAATTTGATATGACAGATTAGAAGTGACTAATTTGAAACAATGTGATTTTAAACTTAATTTGGAGGTGCACAATAATTAAGAATAGCGTTTCGTATTTTTAATATTTACGATATTGAATCACACTCTCAATATTAATATAACCGTATAACAGAAACGTTTAATATGTAAATGTCTTATATTAGCATTTTCAATTACACGTTCATTATTATTATACTTAATATTAAGTTAATTAAAAAAATATTTAAATAATATTTTCATATACTTCTTAATAAGGTAATTAATAATTTCTCTTCTTTGTGTATTACATTTTTTTATAAATGCAAATATAATGTATAACATACGCACTCATATCATACTCTTTCCAACTAAACTAAAACTACTATTTTTAATATGACATGAACATAATAATCATACATGATTTATATGTATACACAACAGTTATTAGCATAATAATGAAAAATCTTACTTATGTCAAACATTTATTGTTATCATTGCTAGTATTATGATACTGTTATATTATGTACATGTATGTATTTTTAGCACCCCAAAATAATTTTGTATAATATTTGAAATTATTTCAAGGTTAAAATATTTTTCGTATATAATAAAATTCGTGTTGTTGTTACCTAGTTAATAATAAGGAATTGTAATAAGAAATTGTATAAGTACAGTAATTTTGCCCGGTTACGAAAGTAATTTTTGATCCGAATATATAAAAAATGATGAAATTTTATTATTTCGAAATATTACTAGATCTGAAGATTCCAAGCAATTTTTAATTGAAATTTCTGATACTGTTGCCAAGTTATGGGAACGAAAATTACCAATTTTATATGAAAAAAAAAATTAATACTCCAAAAACCATTTCTTTTGTGGTTACCGTTATTGTTTTATGTTCGCATGTAAAATTTTCCATACAGAATCCATATGGAAATCCTAAATCAATTTAATTTTTCAGAGTTTTAAAATAATTTTCAGTTTTCAAGAGCGTATACCAAATAAATGAAGGCTTTGCTTTGACTTGAATTAATTTTTTATGAATTAAAACTGTTTCAATGTACACCAATCTGTTCATATTCTATATCTTAATAAATATTCTCAGCTTTAAATTTTAAATATCTTGGAATTTACTCTAAGGGGTGGCAATTTTCTACAAAATATTAAAATTATTCTTATAGCAAAAAAAAAAAAATTAAGTATTTAAATATTTTATTCATTTCACGTTCAGTTATACTTTATAAATTTTTTGATAACAATATAACACTCTCATTCTCCCTAAGTTACTTTTTGATAACAATATAACACTCTCATTCTCCCAAGAAAAATTTTTTCAGTAAAATGATTGACATCATTTTTCTTTCAAAGGAATTTTATTTAATAAACTTAACAAAAGAAAACTTGACAAAGTTTTTCTTATACAGTCAAAAACTATTTTCCAAAAAAAAAATAAGTCGAAAACAAAAAAAAACAAGAAAAAATTAAATAAAAAATAAATTAGAAAGGAAATGTTTGACAAGAAAAGTGAAAACACAAAAAATATGGAGTAAAAAGTTTTGTAAAAGTTGGCGTCTCCTTAATTCAATTATTTGTAATCAGAAAGAAAAAAAAACTATTCTAACTGCTATTATAGCAAAAAAACAACAAGAAAATTAAATAACTTTCGAATCCTTTATGTTATACGTACTTTATAAGTAAAACCCCCAATACATAAAATCTTTTAAATCACACAAAGTGTTTGTTTTTTTCAAGGATTTTATTAAATACTAAACAAAAAACCAAAAAAAAAACATAATATTTTTTTATAATTTCCCTTTTTTTTTTTGTTCTCTAAGTTTTGTTCCTTAAACTCTGTTATCCTTTTGGAAAATAATCTCTATTTTCTTAATCCAACAACAATATTTTTCATAAATAGCTACACTAATTTTAACAAAAAAGGACTAAAACACTTTAATAATTCTCTAAATATATTATGTATAAGTTTAGAAAAAAACTTATAAGTGTTAATCTTATTATGGAAGGGTTCAAGTTCTACATGAATAAAACAAAATTTGTTAAGAATTATTAACGGCAACACCGACTATAAAATAATAATATAGTAAATTCAAATTAGTTGATTCTTATTAATATTATTTTTGCATGATTGATTGCAGAGAGTATAATGTTATGACAGTAATATCAAATTTTAAAAGAATCTATTTTATAAATTACAACTTTATTCTTGTATTCTATAAAACTGGAACGTTCTATATTTCATTTCTATTTAAAAAAACTTGAGTATATTATGTGAATTCTAACAAGTCCATAAAATTTGCTGCCATATTTCATAGAAAAGAAGAATTTTGTAGTGCAAGTTATAATCATGACAGTAGAAATAGTATGTATATTTAGTACATTAAGTAAAACATACGATAGTGTACTTCAGGAGTAATAATATTATATAAAGCAAAATTTTAAAATTGCATATTTTTAGGATTATAAAAATTTTTGTTCTTTAAACATTTATGAATTCTATTCCATATAATATACACGGGGTGTCTGAAAAGTTCCTGTACTTTTTTTTAAATATTTTTAATATAGCTTAGAACTGCTACATGAATTAAGAAATCAACATTGTTAACTGGTCAGAAACTTTAATTAAAGTAATAATAACAATATTCAATAAAAAATTTGCAATACATGCTCAAAAGTTATAGCTCCATTTGCAGTAATACGTGCACAGAGGCACTTTGGAAAATTATTGACAATGGTTGCGCAATGTTCGATGCAAATTTCAGCCCATGCGCGTTTTCAACTCCTGGTAACGTTTTATGGCATCATAGACAGTCATTTTTTTTGTAACCACTCGTCCTTACAAACTCAGCTGTCTTTATACCTAACCTGTGTAATTCTATAATAGTAATGCGCTTGTTATCTCGATTCATATCTAGGCTAACAAAAAATAAATACATAGTTAACAGGTACTACTTGGGATAAAATTGCCGGATGAATGCAAAAAAATGGAACCAAATTGAAAAAAAAAAATCAGAATTATAACGAGAAAAATTAGTATTTTCAAAAGTGCTAGAACTTTTCAGACACTCTGTAGACCAGAAATTTAAAGACGTGAAATTAATAATAAGAGAAAATTCTTCCTCCCAGTCTTACTTTTCACTCTCTCCCCCAAACCAAACTCCAAAAATAGAATTCTTTCTCACGTAACTAATTCGTTCTTCTACTAAATTTTCTTGATATAGTGTTAAGTTACACGAAACAAAAAAAATTTATTTTCAAATGATATCACTTAAAAAAGTATCTGAAAAATATTTAAAAAGTTTTCATTAAAAGTTTACTAATTGTCTCAAATTTATCTCAAAGAAAATAAAGTCATTCTTCATAATGATCATAACATACAAACATTAATATACACGTCATTCATAAACATACTCATATGGCATTTCATCCAAAATAATTATGCACATATACACACGTTTGTATTTTATCATTGGATCTATCATGATAGAATGTTAAGAATATAATTTCATATAGCATGATATAAATTATTTATTTTACATGACATTCATTGATAAGCACATAAAATTATTTGTATATGTGCATATGTGTAATATTCAACATATTCACATATATATAAAAAACATCAAGGACTTATATAACAACTTATATACACATACGAATGTTCTGAACATACAAGTACATAATGTTATGTGGATGAACAGAAAAAAATGAAATGAAATGATCCTTGACCAGGAGATTATCTATTACTTTCAGCGTATGAACATATACTCAAATATACAATTTGTATTTACTCAAGTATGTACGTGTATAAATAAA